CTTTTTAAGGTGAATTAGGCATAAGTGATGGTTCAGAGGGGTTCTGAATAGACAGGTGCCCAGCACATCTCATAGGCATTCTCTGATATCTTTAAGGTGTTTTGGGGGATCCTTTCAAAATAGAACATATGAACAAAATACAACAAAAAAACTTGTAAGACAAAATACAAGAACACGTGAGAATGGGAACACTGATGGAGCCAGCTTTAGGGTTGACCTTGGTTGGGTTTGATTGGGTTTTTTTAATTGCAGGAAGATAACTGAGACAAGAAATGAACAAATCTGAAAGCTATACTAAAAAACAAGTACCAGTTAAAATGAATGCTTCAAAATTTCAAATTTACAAGGTTCTCAGTAATCTATGCAGGTTTATGTTTTATTTGCAGGCATGATGTAAAAGGGATTCAAGTCCCTTAATGGGGGTTTTGATTCCCTAGAATGCTTATTCTCTATGTATTCTGCCAATGGGTGTGCATACACACAGTAGAAGATATGTTAGATTGGCAGAGTGAAAATTTGATTTTAAATACATTTCTATTTTGTTGAGAACAATCCAGACAAGAGAAGAATTTTAAACAGACAAGACCATCTTCTTCTGAATACTAATTAGTTGGTTAATTATTAAAATTTCTTTTGAGCATATACAGTTTGAGAATTTCTAATATATAGTACAGAAAAAAAATCTTTTTATTTGCTAGAGAGGGTAGCACTCCAAACTTTTGAATAGTATCTCCCAGGTGACTGTCCTTGCCTCTGAATATAAAAAGATATGGATTGAGAACTGATAAAGAAGATATTTCTGACTTTTAACATTTAGAGAATATTTTTATGTTTATTTTAATAACTCTATGGTTGTTTAAAAGCACAATCATGCACAAGATTTCAGTGTCATTTTCTCTTTTTTTTTCATCTTCTTTTAAATACTTGAAACTTTTTAAAAGTTTTCTTTTCTGAAAGAATTTTTTTGCCTACAGTTAGCCAAAGAGCTGTATTTCTGGAAAATAGGAGGAGAATCTATTTATTATTTTGCATAGATTTATAAAAAGAAATAAATTGCTGAATGAATCAGACTTCTTGCCATATACAACTCAAAAAAACTCCTATATACGTAGAATTCAAGTTATTTGTCTGGATAGTCAAAAGGTGTCTTAAATCTAATTTTTTATTATTCTATAGGTTGTAAACTCTAAGGAAGTTGAAAATATTTAAAACAATGACAAGAAACAGAAAATCAGGTACAAAGTATAAAATATGTCCACCTTAATTGAAATAATAACTGATTAGAAGACAGTGGGAAAATAAGCTCAGAAACTATTACAAAAGCTAGTTAAATAAAATGCAGGGGTTGGAATTATGTATATTTATTTTTGTAATTGCCATGTCACCTTTTCTGAGTCTGCCTCATTAACTGCACTCTGTTGGAAATACGTATGTGTGCAACACAATAACTCTACTTCAAGTGCTAAAAACCTGAATTTCAAATGTTTTAAGCCTCTGTAAAAAAAACATAATGATGTACATACCAATTTAAAACAAGAATCTTAATTTCTTATTTAAGAGTACATATAAAGAAATAATTAAACTACAAGAAAGCATAACTAGAGCACACAGCCTGCTAGTTAAAATACTCAGAAACTGAAAACTGCTTGACAGTTAGCTCAGATAGCTGATAAATTGTTCCTAGTTCACTTTTCAACTCCATGTATTACACCCATGAAGTCTTACTTTCCTCAAATATAGACTGAACTTCACACAAGATTATCAAAAAATATCTTTCCCTGATTTCTGAATTTCTGGAAACAACTCATCCACATACATATGCAAGAGAGAAAGAATAAACTTTATCTTTTTATATTCTCACTTCTGAGGGTAGAAAATTTTACCTGTGAGATTGCAAAAGTACTGTTTTCATGAGTATGTACCACAGCAGCATTTTTGGCTTTATTTATATCAATGGAAAGCCTTCCATCAAAGGCCAGTATTTATTTTTTTAAAAAGGTGAGTGATAAAATGTCAGTAAGTAAGCTGATTAATCCCTGTTTTAAGTTGCCTAATGCACACCACAGGTCTTTACTATTCCCAGGGAGAAATCCCTCAGTTTGTGAAATTATCTTGCTTCTGTGCCTCTGAATTCAAAAGCATGACTTCTTCTCACCTGTACTTTCCAGGAAAAACACTGGTAGCCTGCCTAGACTCCTCAGCATTTACATCCCAAGCCTAAACTCCCCCATACCACTTGGATGGGGATGCTGAAGAGCTGATTGATTAGTTATGTCAAGGGGAACCAGGTTATGCTTGAGTAGATGTTCCCTATCGCCTTCCAGACCCAGTACCTACCACTGGCACCCCACGTACCTGATGACATGAGTGAACAAGCACTACTCTAACTGCGCAGAGAGAGGTGAAGGAAAACCCAGATTACACAGTTGAGATGAATTATTTCAGTTCTAAAGCAGTAGATCCCTCAAACCCCAGGTAAAGAGAGAAAGCCAGACCAGTCAGAAGCCCAGCCATCACCCTCAACCCCAGACTGTGGCTCTAGCAGCCAACACTCTTCTTTTGAGGTAGGAATACCTCCCCTCTCAACACTGGGGACAAGATGGGCACTTAAATCAATCTCCTCTTCTCTCCTCTATGTCTGTCACATGATACCAGCATTTAACAACCTTCTAGGGAATAAACCTCCTCCTGTAGCTGATTTGTCAGCCCTGTAGCTGAAGCCAATGAAGACAAAGCAAAACGCTTTGGGTTCAAATTTGGTTTATGACAATATGGTACATAAAACAACCTGTCCTTTAAATAAAATTTAAATGGCAACACACAAAATATGGTACTTAAAGTAAATAGAACATAATTTATACTGCTAACAATAAAATTATGACTAGTAAGCACTGTTTAATGCCTATTTTACTAATTGTAATTTATAACCTTCATAATTATATTATTTATATGTTATATTATATTATGTTATATTATTTATGGGGTTTTATTATGTTTTAATATTAAAATTATAACCTTTAATGTCACAACCATATATTTTCACACTGAACTTCTAGCTCATTCACTTCGCAAGTTAAACATGAAAGCAGATGAAATAAATTCTCAGACCAAGTGTAAAGTTTCCATCACTGAACTTCAGAGAAGTTGATTTTGTAACCTAAATAATATTATTGCAATGCATTTTACATGATTGCAATCTATTTTCTGAGGTCATGGGGACTGAATATGAATATCCGAGAATGGAATTCAACTCTTTAACAATGTCTTATCTCTCCTGTAGTTTTCTTCAATATTTATTTTCTATACAGTTAGCAATCTGATTATGTTACCATTACACAGCCTTTTACATCCAAATACTGCCACTAGGTGATCCTGTTACACTTACAAGCAAAAAGAAGCCCATCTGTTCTCCTCTTCACATTTGAAAGTCAGAAACCATGTGGCTAGAAACCCCTCGTGTCTAATGGTGCTGACCACATGGATCCCACTCACACATCCACAAACATTAACAGATAAACATTTCTTCACTGTGAAGAGAGAAGCATCAGTGGTGAGAAAGAAAGCTTAGGAAAGTTACCAATGAAAAGCAACAGCCTTACAGCAAATGCAAATCCACTGAATACTGGTATCATCCATTTAAGCAGACGCCTTCACAGCACCAATGTATAATTCATTTGGAAGACTCTTTGTTCCTTTTTCAGTGACTTATTTATGATTCATTATAAGCTCAAGAGTAAGAACAAGCAGGTGTGGAAGACATTACACTTAAGGAGATTTTAGTACCAGCTTACCCAACTGGAACTTGCATCTTTATTCTCTGTGTATGAGATGATAAAAACCATGACACTACCCTCAGGTTTAAAGCTCCCAGTCACTGACTAGCTCTATACTGCAAGATCACAGTCGGCTTCCATAGCTATAAACAAGTCATAGCAGAAACGCAGAGCTGTATCCCAGCCGCAGGTAAGACTTGGGCACAATTCCTCAGCTCTCTGGTATATATCAGACATGAAGAAGCAGGCTAGAAGGGAGTCGTTCGTACTACAGCTATTCCTGATCTGGATATCTGGGGAATCAGGTCTACACTGGTCCCCAAAGTCAAGCACTGCCAATTTTGTATGTAATCCCCTTATTTTGAGAGACACAAATTATGTCTTTATTTAAAAACTGAAAAGGCAGAAAAAGCATGTGTTCGAACTGTGTTTATAAACAGGTCTGAGATACAGAGTACTGCCTTAGGGAAGCTTTCATGGAGAACTGATTACAGTTTAGAAAATAGCAGAAGAGAAGATACATAGACATCTGCCCTACTGCTTTTGAACAGATACAATTAATTAAATCAGCACATGGAGCCTTTTGGGTTGAACGAGTGATATTTTATCAGAAGGTTCCAATAGTAATACAGGTACTACCTTAATTCTGGATGCTTAGGAATATTGTAAATGCCTCCATACATGATAACTAGGGGGAACACACAGCAACTAGCAACTCTCATCCAGGAAAGTGACTGATAGGTCTCACATTTCCTTGGTACTGATAGTATCTTCACTGCACAAGTCTCTGATATAATAACTAAATTCCACAGCGCATTCTTCCACCTTGTTTCAAAATCAAAGCTGTTTGAAGGTTGTGCAAGTGACACAATGGCAGTTAGGAAAAAACAAATGTCTTTGATGATGTGAACATCTCCTTCCAGTTGTGAAAGGTTTGGAAAAAGAAAGTAAAACAAACAAAAAGTCTTTAAAAAAGGAGAGAGACAACCCCTGTTTTCCCCCTCAAGGATAAACCAATTCCCAGCATACTTAGTATTTTGACAGACACAGAACAGTTGTATTCCACTGTAGTGTTTTACAAACACATCAAGGACTGTATAGCCAGGCTCTTTCACCCTATGGCTCTACACACACACACAAAGAATCAGAGGGGAGAAGGCTATTGGATAATGGCTAAGCAGGATTCTCTCCAGTCATGCTCAGAAATCAGTTTCCTTATTTCCTTACCCTCTGTTTCCGTAGGCTTCCTGGGCTGGTGGGAGATGGGCTTGGAGACTTCCCAGAGCGGGGAGTAGAAAGCTGGCTACCAGGGGTTCCATTTACTAGAAGGACAAGAAATCAAAAAAATAAATACAAGGCATTATTAAAGGAACAGAAAAAGAAACATTTTTTTTGCATTCTTTGTTGAACAGATTAATTCACTTTTGCTTAATGTTTTAACCATTAAATAAGGTAATTCACAAAAGAACTGTTTCCTTAGAGTTTCAGTTCATGAAGACAATTTTTATACAGAGTGAAAGCAAATAATTCACAAACCTGAAAAGACTTCAGTCAATGGCAGAGAACATGATTGTGTTTTCTTAAATTGCATTGTTCCTGTACTTGAAAGTGATGGGGAACGAAGTGCTTTGTTAACCTTAAAAGACACTTGTGATATGTAAACCTTTTCATTCCATTTAGCTATGGTTTGAAGTGCTACCCACTAAAAATAAAATACAGTATTGCTTACAAGAACAAATCAGCTGCTTGTTTTTCCTCACTCATTCATTTAAAGAGATTATTGCAATACTATCTGACCCAAACATTACCTTAGACTTAACCCAGAAGGGCTTTCTAGAGGCAAGTAAATTGGATATAACTCCTCCAGTCTGACCTACAGGAAAGTATCACTTTCTCAAATAAGTAAGTTTCTTCATATATCTCAGTGCCTATCTTTTTAGAAGCATCTTCGCATGCATATGACATTATCCAGTAAATTAACAAAACAATACCAGCAGAGGACAGAATTCTACTACAAAGTAATCACACGAGCGGCTATCAATATTCACACTGAAGCACTGATAGAAACACTACAAAGCGTGTATCACATCTACATGTAAATATTCTTAAACAAGTAACTAATATATCACAGTCCACATTTGCAAGCACCAGGACAAAAAGAATCAACAATCAGAATCCCACATTCTGAATCTTAGGAGAATATTTACATAATTAGGATATCAATAAGGCATTTGACTTACCTTCTATGAGCTCTAACATGGACAAAATCCTAGTGTTTAACCTGATAACAGCAAGCAGCAAAATTCCTACTCTGTACTAAGCCAAGCTGTAGCCAAACTGAGAAGCAATGGGATTAGTTAAGGATAGCTGGGGCTGCTCACAGAGTGAGCTGAATGCGATGCAGGATTCATAAGCAGAAGCCTTTTCTGCGTAAGGCTGACGTCTTCAGAGCAGCAGTGGGAGGTGCAGGTGCTGTCTTAGGGCTACATCAAAGGTGTCAATTAAGCATAATGCTGCTGCTTCACAACGCTGAGCCACCACAACCCCCACTCGCTTTCCATGGAGCCCCAAAAGCCTAAGCAATTTTATATGCTGTGCACTGAATCATAATGAGGTGCCTTTGGGGGCAATGTACCAAATGACTCATCCGAAAATCAAAATGACAATAACTCTTGTAAAACCTTGGCTGACTGGCAATCTAGCAAGTGCTAATTCCTTTGGATAATACAGTAGGCATTTTTAATAGATTCTTCTTACTTTTTACATAACACATTGTTCTCACTGGCTAATACTGGGCCCACACATTATAAGGAAGAAGCATGTATACCCACCACACCACACACATCAATAAAACACATTATACTGCATGATAAATAATGATCACTTAATAGTGTCTGGGTTCTATGAGTGATCCAATCTCAACATCACTTTGTGCAAGGCATTGTTTAAGATAAAAGTTCAATCTATTTGCATAACCATAGGAACAACAAGATACACTAATTGGATTTAAATAGGCTGCTTTCATAGAAAAGGATTCCACTCATCTACGTTTTGAATTCTCTTTATAGAGAGGACAATGGTTTACATAAATCAGCACTCATTCAAATGCTGTACTAAGTGCTGGGGGAACACACACGCATATGTATGTATGTATGTTCATACAGAATTCAGCAAAACATCCTATAGGTCTGGCCAATAATGACTAAAATCAAATTTATTATCAATACCATTGAAATCATTTAGAAAAAGAGCAGGATGAGGACATTAAAAATGACCTTTCTGGATTCTCAAAGTTCTAAAGTTTTAAAAGGCTCCTTATAAAGAAATATGGCGTTATTTAGAAACTATTATTAAATCACTGCTATTCACACAGAGCTAGTCCTCAAGACTGCTGAGTAACAGGACCACTGCTCTCTCTTCTCTTTAAACCAAGCAGATACTCTCAGCTATTATAATAAGAAAATTTAAGATAACGCATACACTTCAATACACCTTGTAGCACTAGGAACCAGTTACTGTTCCTTACAGATGGACCCCCTTCCCCATAACTTTCAACAGTATTTTTTCTTAAAATTATTATGATAATTATTCTGTCCTGAAGACAAAGACTCAAGGCTACAAAGTGGAACCAGACAAATAGATGCAATGGTGTATTTAACTATTCATGTATTTTCATATTGATGCATATCATGTTGATGTGTATCTACTGGAATGAGGAAAAAAAGTATCATAAATCCTAAAAACTACTTACTTGTCACCAGAGTATCCAGAGTGTTTAAACTAAGCTCAAATGCTCTCTTCACCAGCAGTTTTAAAAAAGAAAATTATGATAGTTGTGCTTATGTTGGCCATCTCTAACATGTGAAATCAAGAGCACAATTAATGGATCAGGACCCTCAGGAGATTTAAGTGAAGCTTACTCACCTCTTTACCCATATCCAAAATATAAAGGTGCTATACAAGGACTCCCTATGGAGAGCTGTTTTGAAGCTCTAGACATGGCAATTAGCACTGGAGATGAATACCTCTTACCAGTCTTTAGGTATCTATTGTATTGGCTTCTACATCTGCAGTAGTTTTCTAGACCTTACTTTAACCAAGTTGCTGTAGTAACACGAGTTGCATGAGAGCAATCATCTAAACCTGACCTGATGAACAATGTACTAGGAGAATCCACTGCAGTGTAGACTTCCAAAGCTACACAAGATGAATCCAAACCCATACACCCAGAGGTTTAAGATATGTTGGAGATGAGGCAAAATCATCAAAATTCTCCCCACCTGTTAATTTTGGTGGATTTTATTCCAAACACACAACACATAAACTCTGATGAATGAAAGCCATATGGAGTCTACATTAGGGAAAAGTGACTTAGGTGAGGTGGGTTCTATTCCCAACTCTCTGTATGCATCTGCACATACCGTCTCTACCACTTGTTTACTTAGGCTTTAAGTTCTAGCAGAATGAACTCTTGTACATGTTATGTTGTCAGTCTTCTGGATGCTCTGCATATCTGGAGATATACTTTACTATTACTAATGATACTACTAATGTAGTCTTTCGGACTGACATCACAACAGGAATGAGATGGTAATTCCTAATGCTTTCCCAGTATCTTCCAGAGGTCCTCCTTTTTTACGTTCTTGTTTATGGCTTCCTGTCCTTGTGAGTCATTGTATTGAATTTGCAAATAGAGATGATATTAGGTGCTGTGTAGCAGAAAGAGAATGGAGTGATTCTGACCCCCTTGCTGAACCACCACTCACAATCATTGCAACATTCCTATATAAGCTGTTCATGACCAACAAATGCCGTTCATGCAGTTTGTTGCTGCTCTTGGCAACAAATACATGAATAAAAGCTATAATATTTAATAATAACCCTAAATTGCCCTAAAAGCTACTTCTAAGTGGAATGCATTTTGGTTGGAAACTGCATTCCTGTCCAGTATCTACACTGCATTTCTCACTGACTGACACAGCACGTTACCACAGGGAACATTGATGTAGATAAAGACACATGAAATTGGTAAATCACTGTTGTGATTAATCATGTTATTGAGTGAGGCAAAAGGTTACTTGTCACTTTTTATTCATGAAATGGCAGGGGCCAGAGACTTCAGCTTAACACACAGTACCCTCCTATCATCTCATGAAAAAGATTTATCAGTTTAAAATTTCACAGATGAAATATGTATTAAAAAGCTAAAACAGTATCAAAATTATTGTGGCTGCTCTGAGCAGAATGTATGCAACCACTTAGCTGTGAACTCCTTTCCTTGCTGTCCTCTCTTGCTGAAGATGCATAACAGGGCAAGGACCTGCCTTTGTATTTGTTTTTCCAGCACCTGGCACACCTGTGAAGGTAGAAAACCTCATAAAACAGAACACTAAAGCTGGATACCAGGATCTACTGACATAAATGCAAAATAGACTTTCATATGATAATATTTATAAACTAGTGAAAATGCTGCAAATAAAAAGAACTTTGATGGCATTCCAATAAATAAATTTTGATAGGGCATCTTTTTATTAAGTAATTAAAAAAGTAAGAAGAACTGAATTAAAGCATCAAGTGACAGTCTGAGAAGCCACAAATACCACTGCACTGTATAAGAATAATACTTTCCTATAAAATAGCCTGTTGATTTGCTAGCATATTGTACTCTATAATACATGTAGAGATGACTGCATTTTTAAAAATTGGTTTTCCAAACACAAAAGTATTTGTGAAGGAGAAAGAGGGGAAGGGGAAGGAAGGAAGAGGGGAAGCCACAAATTATGAATAGGACAAGTTAACCTAATAATTATTTACAGAAGTCACAACCTGTGTAGGTCATATTCAGCAACTGTTAGCTAGAAAATGCTGATGTGAGATCATTGACTGCCACAATTACATCTGCAGGTTTTCACTGTCCTTTCCAAAACATTTTTGTCTCAGTAAGATTATGTATTTGAAAAGTAGTTAGGGAATAAACCATATCTTGCCTTTTCTTTCCTTCTTCTTTTGTATTCTACTTGTATACATTGTGTCAGCGAAAGACAGTGTACAGAGCACCATATAAACAAGTGCCCTCAGTACAACTCAGTAAAGACAAGGTTTTACAGGTTCTACCCTACCAAGCAACTGGTTGAGAAAAAAACCAAATACCAGTACTGCATTCATTTTAACTGGTGTTAAACTGTCCTTTTTATATTTAATCTTTTCTAGAGTTTATGTCAAGAAGTTAAGCAAATAGAAGAAGAACATCTCTCTGCCACTGAAGACAAGTCTTGACAGACCCACACAGAGCTTTCAACTGATCAACAGATCAACAAATTAG